GGTGGTGAATTGTAAATGATGAAAGCTTTGCTTTCGTTGTTGTTGTTGTTGTTGTTGTTGTTGTCGTCGTTGTCGTCGTCGTTGTTGTCGTTGTTGTCGTTATCGTTGTTATTGTTGTTGTTTTGATAACTGACATATTTTCTGTTCATACAGTTCAGTTTAGGTTCCTCACAACAAGTCGAAGATCACAGACAAGCAAGTAAGAAAGACAGAATAAAAGATGAAAATAGAAAATTGCATTTTAATCTTACATTTTCAATAAATGATAGAAGATAGATAGAATCAATTTATATATATTTTCTCTCGCTTTTAGTCTTTAGTTCGTCAGGAAACCAAAGAAAGAAGTCAATAACCAGCCCTTTGAACGTGTCACAGGCGCTAAGCATAGAAAGAAACCTTGAAAAAATCAATACAAATATCAAGCGTCCCGAGAGAAACGACGAGGAACGACACAAGAGAAAGATGGAAATGGAAAAACGAAGAAATGAAAGAAGAATAGAAAGGGAGTTGAAGAAAGCTGAAAGAGAAAGAAAAAGGGCAGAGTTGGATAAGAACGAACATAAAACGTTACTAGAGATGGCGAAAGAGCACAGAGGAAGCGCAAAATTTGAGAGTCAAATGGAAGGGAAAGTTGAAAGCCAAAATGAAGGTACTATATATATATATGATAAGTAATGGGAATTAACAGTGGATTTCACAGAAAGGCTCTTCTTCCACTGGATTCCAATTGGAATTTAGAAGTCGAGTTTTGTAGAAGGACGAAAAAAAACCAAACAACTTTGAAAACAACTCTCACAGCAAAGGAGAGAACCAGGAAATAACGGGTTTCGAACCCGGGACAAAATAGGCGCCATCTTGGAAATATGTCTCCTCAAACAGCACCACAATGCACTGCAATTCCAAATCGACCAAGGGTTTCCTTCAACCTCGGAATGGTTACAGTATAAAACTCAATAATGATAAAAGGGTAAATTATACACCGTGAAAAGATGAAAAAACTTACTGACGTTTCGGATGCTAGTCCTTCGTCGGAGTAAAAGAGAAAAAAAATCAATGTTTCTTTTATTCTGTCCTTTTTGGATTCTTATCTTTTGTTTTTCTTACAGGTTTAAATCAATCGGGTGTTTCAACAGCCAGTGAAGACTTCGAGGAATGGGAAGACTTCCAGATGGGAGATTCTTCTTCTAAATCGGTTAGTGACAATAAGACTCTTGGGCACGTAATGTCTTCCCTTTATAGACCACGTCGTGCCATTCCCTAGAGTATCATTTCTTTGTTTAATGGTTGTGCAGGAGAATACACATGAATATGGATACGACTCCAACCAAAAATCTTATTCTCAAGAGGATGACACGTGGTCTGAAATAGGAAAACATTACGTCCAAGGTTAAAAGGTCTATTTAGCAAGAAAAATAAAAATAAAAGAAAAATACCAATAAACCTTGCACCCAATGTAAAAGCTTGAGTTTAGGCCAAACAAAAAAATAAGTGTGTTTCCTGTTGTGCGACCGATCCCTAATTTTCTTGCCGATTTTTGCTGACTAATATTTTTTTCATTCCCAAATGCACCACAGGGTTCCCAGTATAGTTCATTTCCACTGTTGTATCAAAAAAAAAAAAAAAGGAAAATCCGATCTGCCGACCACAATTATTGTTGTCATGCAACAGGAAACACAATTATTTTTTTGTTTGGCCTTATATATACGATCATCGCTCCCCGTATGGGGCTTTACCGTGAGGTTCGCTTCACACTCGCTACCACTACTGTCTCTATTTACGTTACACAACACTCGACTCATGTTAATTTTTATTGAGCAAAGCCGAAAAAAAATTAATTGTTCTATTTCATAGAATTCAAGTTCACCATCGTCTTTCAAAAAAGATAAAACCTCACCAACTCGTTTCACTCCAACATCAATGAAGACCCTCGAACGATTTGATTTAACTGACGTGGACTTCACACCAAACCAAGCTCAGGGTTCCTCGAAAAACTTGAGAAGCGAATTCCAGTCTTCTGATCTTATCAGCTGGGATACCTTCGAAACGGCGCAAAATCCTACCTCAAGAACAAGTCAACCTAAGTCTGTAGCGACCGGAAAAGCAATGAAATTAAACTTAAAGAAAGGAAATAACACAAAGATGTCGAAAGCCAAGGCTAAACCTGTGGATGATTTAGGGAAGATGTTCGAGGTGCCTGATTTCAGCGTGAAGTCGAGCGAACCGGATTTTTTCTCGGATATGCAGCCACAAGTGGAGTTCAAGAGCTATGATGGTGGTATAGGGGGCGGTAATGTCAAGAGTGCTTATAGTAAGAAGATGGATGTATCCAGCACTTCACAAGGAGCGCAGGTACAAGTCATGTATATGAATATTTAAAAAAATGATGATGATGATGATAATGATAATGACATATTTTAAAGCCAAGAGAAGATAGTAGATAGGCATAACCCTTGCAGTACATTCAATAATAACCTTTTTGGAATATGTATTTTAACCTGGNGGGGGGGGGGAGGGGAGGGGAGCAAGTCACCGTAACCACACACGGTTAGAAACAGGGCCTGAACAAGGAGGCTGAAAAGAGATCGGCTGTCAAATTTACGCGTTCGGCCTTTAAAGAATGATGCTTTATTAATAGTTTTTTATATTATTTTGATAGGTTGGAGCTGACTGGGATGTTGATGAAGACTGGACAGACTTTGAGTGAAAGCCGCCAAAATGTATCTTCGCTGAATTAAGCATTTATCTAGAGGAGATTTCGCTTGAATACTCCAAACGTTGCAGACTAGACACGCTGTGCTAGGCCGTGGCGTGCAGTGCCGTAGCATACAGTGGTTGGCTGGAATTTCTAACTGTATTCTTTAACGGTTTCTGAGACCCAGACAACTCCAGAAGCGAGAAGTTATGTCGTGTTTAAGCTTCCATGGTTCAAGTTTACAGTGCTCTGAGTCAGTAAACTTTTATTGGTAGCAGAAAGACGAAAAAAGCCTCTGTGTATCTCTTAGAAATGCAACGAGAAATTTTAAACTAGAGTCTGTTTAGTTTCAGTTGTTCAAGTTTGTCATCTTTTTTTTTTACAGAAAACGCATTATTTTTAATTTTCTTATTATTTTTTTCTTTTCAAAACAGATGCAGTAGATGTTTTAGTAAATATATTTAATAATATGCGGAAACACAACACTAAAGATTCTAAAATGAACAGAGTAGTTAGTTTTAATTCGTCATATTAAAAATATATGAAAAATAACCAAGAAAAGAGTTGATAACACCAGATATCATAATGATTTATGTAAATTTTGCCATAAAATTATGACAAAAACTGAAGTTAGCTAACTAGGATGTAAGAAAATATTTTAATGTGAAAATACAAATATATAATCTTAATAATTATAGATTGTTAACATGTAAATATTTTAGAGAAGAACAGAGTGAAAATACAAGCATTATCGTAGATATTTATCATTATCAAAAGTAAATGATTAAATCTATCTTGACAAATTTGACCTTGATTTTGCCTTTTGTGTTGTCGAGATTTTGTCGTTCTCAAAATCAGTTTACATTTTGTTGCGCATTATAAAATAGGCGTTTAATAGTTTATTTCGAATCATGTCGCCACATACACATCTCGTGAGTATCATTTCTTTCTTTAACAGTATATAGACATACTGTCATGTTACTAAAATGTTTAAAATGGAGAGATATTGCAAGATGTTTAATTTTGTTATAGTAGCCCCATGCCCCCTTTTTTCGTGTGTGTTTGCTTCTTTTCTAAAAGGGAGGGGGGGGGGGGGGTTGCGATATTTATTTCGGGGTTGAAGTTAATGCTCGATATATTTTGGGAAATTTACGCGCCCCCAATCTCCCATTATCTAATGGTCCGTCCCTAAGCTAAAAATAGAATTCGTTCAGTTAATTTGCGAGTAGGGATTTTGGAAGAATAAAGATAGAATTGTATTTTTATAATATTTTTTAAAAATCGCCTTCTTAATTGTAACGCTATTTAGTATAAATATACAGGTGACTATTGAAAATCTCGCGCGCTGATTGGTCGAGAAACTCAGATTATCACACGATAATTAACTCCAGCGATAATCCAAAATGGCGCGGACAGCGTTTGTCACTTCAATTAAAATTTTTCCTAATTTTAAATGTGTCTTTTATCTTCTTTTTTTTCTTTTTTTGAAAAAATCACCTGCGTATTTATACTAAGACAATTATTTACTTCAGGCTCAGTGAATTGCTCAGTTGGGGGAACTCTTCCCGAGTTTGATTTCCTTATTCATCTAACGTCCAAACTTTATAACTCAACGAGAATCACGTGTAATTTGCTTTAACATCGTTCTCTGGGTAGACATTCACTTTATCGTGAGTATCGCAATTGTGGAATGCTCGAAACCTGCTAAAAAGAACCGGGAAATACCAAAATTGAATTCCTTAGGACCCTAAATTGGGATAGACCTTGGGATACCTGTGTTTTCTCATTTATTTTCAAAAGGAATTTGCATATAGGTATTGAAAATACGAAGGTGTTGTGTGTTTTCTTATTAAAAACACAATAAGAGTAATCTTTTAGCAGAAATGTTGATTGGATATTTTAGTTTTCGTTAGATCAGTTTTGATTAGTCAAACAATGACATTCCTGCGTTGCCTTCAAGCGCTTTCATTACAAATCCAGACTTGAAAAAAAAGCGCAAATCTGATTGGACAAAACTTGACAGAAGGCGCTCCTATTGGTCGATAGTGGTCACGGGACAGTGCAAGCCATTCAAGTGCTGCGGCGGTTTTTCGTTATATAGTGTCAACAAGAAAGTCACAGAAGATTTGAAAAACGGAGGGAAAAATACCTTGGAAATTACCATTCGACTGAAAAACCATTCCTTTCGGACAGTTTTATGAGTATTCTAAGCGTAAACCAAGTCTCCAAACATCTTTGGTGGGGAATTTGTAGAGATTTGACGAGTCACATGGATGTAATGTAAAACTTGTCATGCTTCAAAATCCTGCAAATGGTCTTTGACTTTTGAAGCCAAAAACTTTGGTTTTGTGTTATATTTTTGGTTATCCTGGTCATGAGCTGGAATTAGGAGTTTAATATGAGTCGTAGATCGAGTGTTAGTAGCACTGGTAGCGTAAGCACAAGTGCTAAATCTGGAGTTGAAGACGACCCTCTTATGAGAGATTGTTATGATCTGAGACGAAGATTACTTCAAACTGAACAGTCACTGCAAAATATGAAGCCTCCTACAATGATTCCAAGGTAAGTTTGATACCAGATAAAATACCAATGTATTTACTTATAAAATATCACCGTAGAAATATTAGTTTCAGGTCTATTTAGTTTTTGATTCTTTCCTCATTGGAAAGACTTTCTGCTGCAAGAACTAAATTTCTGTTTGGTGACCACACTCTAGCTAAAAAAATATTCTCTCTCTTAAACTGTATTATATTTTAAAGAGATATTATCGTGAATAAGATCTACGATATGGCTAAAATTTATCTTTAATTTATTTAAAACTGTCGAGTCTTTTTTCAGTCCAAGTTTCAAGAGCTTGTTTGAACCAGAAGACTCGCTAATTTACGTTGCCTATGTAAACATTGATTCAACTCTGATGTTCCTCCTATCTGACAGCAATCAAGATAAAATACAGCTCGATAAATACTCATTTAAACCTTATTTTAAGAGTATATACCTGATATAATCATCCGTTGCTATATTTTCGTATCGTTTTGAACAAACTTTGTACATTTTGCCTTAATTGTAAGGTATCTCCACTCCATGCTGTAACTAAGTAACTACAAGATACTACAAATCTATTGTTTATACAGTAGCTTGATACACATGTTTTTTTTAAATATTCACATGCTGGTCCAAATAGGTTGCTTTTATATTCATAAGAGACTATACTGTTAGATTCTTGTGTCTTTTGTCCTATTTTGTGTTTATTTTATTTCTTTTGTTAGGTGGCCAGACAGTGGACTTTCCATTCTTTTGTCACTCCTTGTGTTTTGCAGTATTTTTATTTAAAAATCTTGATCTCTTAAGTATGGTACTTCTCAACTCCATCTCACATGGATTAGTAATTTTCTAGGACACAGAGACTATAGACAGACTAATACAAAATTTTTGAACAACTTATGGCACTGTCATTGAGCATTTTGAATTTTTTATCATCATTTGAATCTCATACATTTATTCAATTTTGATCTACCTAGTCCTTATTCACATGTTTATATATGTTGTCTGGTACAATATACTCTGTTTTGGATGCAGATTTTCATTGTCAAATGATTTATAATATTAATTTTGTTAGATTTAATTAAGAACAAATTTGTTTTGTTTGAGCACAAATACTTGTAAAGTAAACTTAATTGTCGTAATGATGATTTTAATTAGAAGTTTTGCTCATTTAAACCCCGGTGTACATTAGTTTCATGTTATGAATGAATACATGAGTCAAGTTAGATTAAATGCTTAAAGCTGACTGTTTTTTAGATGATTTGGGTTTCAAAAAAACCGATAAAAGTCTTTGAATCCCATTATCTGCTCCAAATAGTGGTCAAACACTGACCACCATATGCTGTCAGCCAGAAAGAATTCCAGTTTAAACTTGTGCTTAAGCTGATGAAAATCTCCCAGTTGGACAAGAAATAATGTCTTAGTGAAATCAAGCAATTGTTGAGAGATCTTATACTCCACAAAATGGTTAGAACAATGAAAATCCTACTCAGCTGTCCTGCATAAATTTCAGAGCTTTCAATATTTTTTGGAGTAAGTGGTTATTCCCAAATATTAGTGGGCAATAAATGGAATTTTAGACCCCTTTTTTATTAATTATGTGTACTATTAAGTCGAAAATAGCCGGCAGTTTAGGCAGAAGTATCCGGCGATAAATCACTGGTTGCCGCCTTCTATTGAAAGCTCTGAAAGTTCTGCAACATGTCATTCCCACTATCTTTGGCTGTATTATATTTGAGACCTCTTAGTTTAAAAGGTAGTTTCACATTAATTTTGTTATCCTATATTTAATATAAAATATATAATTGTCTTTTAAGTGATAAGTCCAGAACATCCCAGAGAAGCCAACCAATGTCATATGAAAGAAAGAAAGGAAGTGCAGAAAAAGAAAGAGAAAGAGGGTATCATCTTAGTCCAGATGATCTCAGGTAGGTAGACTGTTTCTTGTCCATCTTGTCCATCATGGTCATGGTTTGAACATACAGTGTACAATGATTATGACAAAATGGTGGACAAAAAGTTTAAATTAATAGTGTTTACTTGAAATAGATGAAGGGTTTACAGTCCAAAGCATTATCAAGGCAGTTTGTTAACAATGAGAGTTTGGTCAAAGCTAACATGTGTCCTGCCAAATGCTTAATTAGGCTGGTCTTCTCGACTACATGTAGTTGCATTGACTGGTCACATACTAGAAGCACAGTATGTCTGAGCTAAAATCAAACTGTAGACAGCCATCAAGTTAACAGCTGCTCAAAGTCAGGCATTGAGTAGCTGTTATTTTCAGTCCTGCAAGATTACCCTTTCAGTACCAAGGGTCTTAGAACTTTTTTGATGTTGTTCAACATGAATTTGTCATCATTATTTTTACTTATACATACATAGCACATACTAGTTAACTTTTTCTTTAGATATTAATAATAATTACTATTTATAAAACAGGATGAATGAAAAACATAGTTGTCATGGAGGTAGTTTACAACAGGCAAAGACAGGCTTAGCATTACCGCACACAAGCAATAGACAGTCTAGTAAAGCTTTTGTCAAAGAGATACTCTCAGGAGAGGAATACATGTACAAAAAGCAAGATGAAAGAAACTCAAGGTATTGTGCAAGTTCTGGGACTCATAGTTATTCATCTTCTCCTCATGGAGAACGAGATCAAAGACCTGCTGCTTGGATGGCAGGGGTACAAGAAGATAAAAATGTAAGTTTGCCAGGAACTCTTCTCGGCAAACAGCAGGATATTTCACCTGAAACCAGGAGTAAAGAAAAACAAGTTACACCTGACACAAGAAGGAAATCTTGTCTTGTTCAAAAAAGAGACTCAAGTAATGAAAGCTTTAATTTATTAAACAAAAAATCCAAAAGTATCCATTTTAGTCCAGAGACTCCTAACCAATTGTCTCCAATTGGTAACAAATTTCCTGGAAAAGATGAAGGATTCGTTGGACTGAAAGAAACCCCTGCATTTGAGTCAACCAAGAAGACTTTGTTTACCCAACAGTGCCAACATAGAAAACTTAAACCTTTTATACTGGACAGTCCTTTGAAACTCTCAGATTTAGGTGTGCCTAGCCCTGACGTGGGACGCGAGGATGGAAGTATTGGAGAGTACATTAAAAGAAAAGATGGAGTTTTAGAGAAATATAAAATAGAGCAAGGCGTCAAAGAAAGTCCATTCCATCTGCAACATCAGACCAATATGCATTGTGATAAAGGTTGTTTTAATAACGTTAATAAAGTATGCAGTCATGGATATGGACACTTTGGAAGAGGGTGGGTGCCGCCACCAAGAAACTTACAAGCTACTGAAAAATGGATCCTAAAAAGAAAGACAAAATCTTTTGACGACTCTTCATTATCAAGCTTTAATTCAAAAATAAGAGATCCAGAAAAAGAAAAGAGAAAAAAATCCTTGGATAGTGTTAGTGATCTTGTAACATCACCAATGGAATCTGGAAATCTACAATTAGCAAGTTCCGAGACAAGAAGACGACTTCTGCCATCAACACCAGATGTCAGTCCAAAGAATGACAGTGTGTCTAAAGACAGATGCACACTAGAATACTATGGAGATCAGTCTAGTGAAGAATTGTTTATAAAGAGTTTAGAAGCATTAGGCAGGAGTAAAGTGTGTCAGCTTAGTCCTCGAGATGACAGGTAACACTGACTGATAGGAAGTGCTTACAGTTTCACTAGTTTTTCTGGGTTATAAAATATGGTCATTTTTGTACAATGACCGTACCATGCCATTCCTCATTCATATGTACTGAATTAATAGGCCTTCTGAGATAGCAAACAAATACAGTGCATTGTGGTCTAGCTTGAGTACACGTACTAACATATTATGTTCATCACTCCTTATCCACAATGCAACTTCTATGACAAACTCAGAAAAGGTCTATTACAGCTGCAGTTGCAAATGAGTATATTTTTATTTTTTCAATATTTTCTATCATAAAACTAATAATGAATAATAATTTGTAATATATTTGCAGCATAAGTGCACCCAGTAGGAGCTACTCATCCTCACCAGAGAGTGGTGGTCAAATCTTGACCTTGGCTGACCTTACACCTCCTGCCTCAGACCCAGGCATGTCACATATCAGAAGAGGGAACACCCCTCTAATTGGTGCATCTTTTAAATCATCACTTCCTGACCTCAGAAATGGCTCTGCACTATCTACACCAAGGGACCGTGAGGTTAGTGCTATTACAGGGGCGGATCCAGGGGAGGGGTGCAGGGGGTGCGCACCCCTCCCTGGTTACAATTTGTGCTCCTGCTTCGAAGATAACCAATTTTGTTTTTGCCTTTGATTCTAAGGGGTGCACCCCTCCCTGGATTAACATTGTGCGCAGCACCCCTCCCTGAACAAGATCCTGGATCTGCCTCTGTATTACCATCTAGTTAGGTGGCAATCAAGGGTAGTGTGGTGGTTTTGAACCATCATGTGTTAGATGGAGACCAATAAAATGATCCCTTTGACCTCAGGAATTGATATTTTTTCACTTAAGATAATTGTATTGTTCCTGCCTTCTGAACATGGCTGCTTTCACATTATGGTTGGAAACATGAGTATATAAGCGTATAAGTGTGTGGCGGCACGCGTCGCTGGGACCTCGAGTCTGTTTGCCTGCTCCTCGTCACGCTTGTTTGCTATTGCATTTATTTTCTGTTCTCTTTTGTAAGTCAAGCCTGATGAAATGCTCTAAATGAACGAATTAAAAACATTTATACTGTGTTCGTGAACCTCTGCTTTGATTACTGGCCTGAGATATCACATGTGAGCAGACTTTGTTGGGTCTCTCCCATAATTCAAGGCATTTTTTCCAATTTTTCCTGTTTTCCTTGCTTTAAATGTTATTCTTCTCCCTTGTGTCATTTCCAGATGGACAACAGGTCATTTTCTAGTGATTATGATCATGATACTCTCAGGAAAAAATTGAACAAACACAGGGAGGAGAATGCCCAGTTAGTCAGCCAAAACCATAAACTCATGTCAGAACTGGAAAACTTGAGTTTTGAACTACACCAGGCAAGAAATAAGGTAATTGATATTGCTAGGCTGGTTTGCATCATCATGATAAGAGTCTTTAAATCTCGTTATCTGCTCCAAATGGTGTTCAAAGAGTGACCAGCATGTGCTGAAAAGATTCAGCTGTTGATTATTCTGCACAAGAGAGAAAAGAGAGACCAAGCAATACTTTGTACATGAAAATAATTGTACTCGTTTCTAGTCATACAAAATGCTGTAATTTAGCTTTAAAACCATAACATTATAAAAAGAAAGAAAAAAGGAAGGAAGAAAGAATTTATGCATGGGAGAAAGAAAGTTGGAGAGGAAGGAAGGATAGATAGAAAGAAAGGAAGGATAGGAAGGAAGGAAGGAAGGAAGGAAGGAAGGAAGGAAGGAAGTAAGGAAGTAAGGAAGTAAGTAAGTATAGAAGCAAGAAAGACGAAAAGGAAGGAGATGAGAAGAAATAAACAAATAAACAGAGAAAGCATGGATAAATGGAAGAAAGGAAGATAGTAAAAAATATTTCTCAATTGCTCAAGGATTCTTTGGTGTATTTTGTATCATTTCAGAATAAGATTATGAGTCATGATTTGGAAGAAGAAAGAAAACGTGTCCAGTCACTTGAAGACAGGATCGTCAGTTTGGAATCACAACTGGCAGATCAAGAAGATCGTGCAAGGTTTGAGACAAAACTCTTGCTCATTAACCCATCCATCCATCTACCCATCTATTCGTTTATCCATCCTGCAATCTATCCATTCTATTTACCCATCCTTTTGTTCGTCAGTACTTCAATCCATTCTTGCATCCATCCATCCACCCATCCATCCATTCACCCATCCATCCATCAATCCGTCCGTCCGTCCATCCATCCATCAATCCATCCAGCCATTCCTCCATCCAATCATCCATCAATCCATCCAGCCATTCCTCCATCCATCCAGCCATTCCTCCATCCATCCAGCCATTCTTCCATCCAGCCATCCATCAATCCATCCATCCATTCCTTCATCCATCCATCGTCCATCCATCCATCCATTCCTCCAGTCCATAATACATTATCCAGATCAAGTATTCTATTACCCTAGAATCAAACTTGAAAATCAGTCGACGTTTAACTCAGGCAATTTCGTGTGACCAATATCTAGAATGAATGAACATAACTTCAAAGAATGCCAAGAGGAGCTTCATTCTAAAACAGAAGAGTTGAGAAGTGTAGTTGAACAATCCAGTATTACTGAAACAGAGCTCAGAGAAGAGTCTAAACTACGTAAAAGGTTGGTTAACGATCAAAAATCTCCCCATTTCTAAACATTTTGATAAGAATAGTTAATATAATTTTAATATTTTTAGAGGTCTTTCTTTGCTTCAGTATCATTTCTTTTTTTTTCCTTTTCTTGTTGGCATGTGGTCTGAAATAATTCATTTTTTTAAATATTTATATATTTACACGTCTTTCTTTCCTTGAGCATCATTCCTTTATTTTGTTGTTGCCATGTGGCCTGAAAAAGGAAAACATTACGTCCAATTTTATAAGGTCGTATTTCTTTTTAACAGAGCTGAAATCCAGCTACAAGATGCTATGCGAAGCGTTGACGAGTTGTCAGAGAAATTAGCTGACCAAGAAGAATCTATTAGGACAATCAAGAAACAGGTAAAGAAACAGGTTCTTTCCTTTTTCTTCTTTTTATTTTTATTTTTTGTCGTTTCACTTTGTAGTTCTTAGCATCACTTCCGGTTTACTTATTATATTTTTGGCGGGAAAAAAATCATGCCGCGCGCTTGCTTTTAGAGTTCGGGCCTAATGTCAGTTAACCAGAAACGGAAGTGTCTTCAAGTTTTAATTTTTTTTTGGTCTCTTAGAATGCTGATAAAGAAAAGAGTCTCAGAGACAGGCTTACTCAGTCGCAGAAAGAATGTAACGAAGCCTATGAAAAACGTGCTGCAATGGAGGCACAATTGCAGGACTTAAAGGAAGAAATAAGGTTTGTTTCTCAATTCGAAAGGCCTTCATGTGTAAGTAAAAACTTGTCTTGTCTTAACTTGGTCAGTTGAACTCCACTATACCGTAAACCTCCGAAATTAGGCCCCCCTAAAAATAAGCTCCTTATCAAGTGATTCTATTGTTGTATGATCAGAAAGCCACGTGAGCCACTCGGAACCACTGCTAACTCACGTTTTTTGAACATTTCTCTGTCAGTGTATATATTTCTGTATTTCGAAAACTGATTTGATAACTCAGAACGTTGTAAATTTGGTGGACAGAAGCTAATTCCCAAAAAGAGGTGCTGTGTTGTGTAGTTGCCTGGTTTTTAGAAACATGAAAAGTGCTGTTAGTAAAATGTATCAGCATTTTGCTTGTGTAAAATTGATGGGTTTTCTTTATTAGACTTCTACAGGATGAAGGGACCGTTCGCGAGGACACCCAAGCATCCTTACAACAAGAAAACGCCAGTCTTAGAGCAACCATCTCGCGACAAAGTCAAAAGATAGGAAGACTAGAGAACGAGCTGAGAAAGACGGACTTTCATGTCAGGGATCAGAGCGATGACTTAAACGATGTGGTCGAGAGACAGCGACAAAGAATTCTACAGTACCAACAAGAGATAGAGGAGACCAAACGACACATGGCAAGACTAGAGGACCTGGTACACAGAGTACAAGAACAGAGTATTAAAGAACACGTGAATGCCACGCCCTCTGTGAGTATATAGTAGATCATACTGAACACGTGAATGCTAGGCACCCTCTGTGAGTATGTATTAGAATATATTGAACACGTGAATGCCACGCCCTCTGAGTATGTATTAGAATATATTGAACACGTGAATG